ATGTGCTATCTTTTAACAGATGTGCCGCCCTAGCCAAACTCCTCACCTGACAATGTCTTCCACCCTGATTGGCCGACGCAAGGTCGGCCTTAGGTCCAAAAAGAGGGGCGATGACTCGCCTCCGTTAAAGTAAAATAACTTTAAAAGTAGTGGTATTTCAGTTTCGCCGAAGCTCCCACTTATACTACACATCTCAAGTCATTTCACAAAGTCTGACTAAAGTCAAGCTTAACAGGGTCTTCTTTCCTCGCTGATTCTACCAAGCCCATTCCCTTGGCTATGGTTTTGCTAGATAGTAGACAGGGACAGTGAGGATCTCATTAATCCATTCATGCGCATCACTAATTAGATGACCAGGCATTTGGCTACATTAAGAGAGTCATAGTTACTCTCGTCGTTTACCCGCGCTTAGTTGAATTTCTTCACTTTGAAATTCAGAGCACTGGGCAGAAATCACATTGCATTAGCATCTGAAGGGACCATTGCAATGCTTTGTTTGAATTAAATAGTTGGATTCCCCTTGTCCATACAAGTTCTGAGGCAGTTGTTCGACACCCAGGGAAAGTCCTTGAAGGAACGCTCCCAGTTCGTCCCCCAGCCGTCGGAGCAGCTCGTGCAGTCCACCCATAGCCGACGGGTTCGGGACTGGGACTCCGTGCCCAACCCTCAGAGCCAATCCTTTTGCCAACTTCCCTTGCCTACATTGTTGTATCGACCAGAGGTTGTTCACCTTGGAGACCTGATGCAGTAATGGGTACGCTCGGGTTGCAATCCCCAACAACCCGACTCACCGACAGCGCCTCGTGGTGCGACAGGGTCTGAACACAATGGGGCTCTCACCCTCTCCAACGCCACCTTCCAGTGGACTTGGGCCCGATCCACCACTGAGGACGCTTCGCCAAACTACAATTCGGAAGCCATGGGCGCCGATTCTCAAGCTAGGCTATTCCTAATTCGCTCGCCGTTACTAGGGAAATCCTAGTAAGTTTCTTTTCCTCCCCGGGTAACCCCACCTAATCTGGGGTTGCGTTGAAAGCTAAGCCAGAGCCAAGTATTTTTTCAAGCCCTCGATGTGCAACGACCACACACGATAGGCAATTGAGGTTTCACAACCACCGATTGTCGTAGCGTGCGTAGGGCAGATATTTGAATGATGCGTCGCCAGCATGATCCGTCGAGTTATCATGAATCATCAGAGCAATGGGTAGAGCCCTCATCAGCCTTTTATTTAGTAAATGCATCCGTTCCACAAGTCAGGGTTTGTTGCACATATTAGCTCTAGAATTACTATGGTTATCCGAGTAGTAGATATCATCAAACAAACTATAACAGATTTAATGAGCCATTCGTAGTTTCACAGTTAGTTCTTACTTACACATGTATGGCTTAATCTTTGAGACAAGCATATGACTACTAGCAGGATCAACCAAGTAGCGTTCCTTTCCAAAGTCGGCACCGTGCAAGATAAATGACCTTATGGGTCGAGAGCTCACCGTAGGCACGACAGTCGTACGTGTCGAGCAAAAACGCTTCAAATTGGACGATCGGACGCCAAAGACCCCATGCCCACTTATTGCTCCTCATCCGAGATCACAAGCAGAAACTTATGGACCTTCACAATCTCATGATGAGGCGTGGCTTAATCGGGACTCAAGCACTACTACGACATCCTCCTGCTGCCCGCGAAGGGCAAGAGGAGGAAAGGGACAATGAGAGGCACCATTCCTTAACAATAGGTAGCCAAAACAGGAGCCCATTAACCCGCACAAGTCAATCTTGAAACATAAATGACGAGGTGTATGAGACAACAGTTCAATGCCAGAGCAAAGAGCCCGCTGGTGCATACAACCCATTCACCACTCACATGCCGTTGCTTTAGCAAAGCTCAACACCACCAAATGAACCACACATCTCAACAAGCACAATGGCTAACCAAGAAGAATGTAGCTACACTGAGTGGAGCCAAGCACACACGGCTAGGCATGATAAGAATACCATGAAATCTAGGTAGCTAGGCAACATAGATGTTGTGGGTTCGTAACTCATAAGAGTGTTACTTTCAAAGTCCCTGGTATTGGATTGAGTTTCTAAAAACAACTGTGCACACCAAGGTTAAACTTTACTGATGACACTCCGACTCACCACTCGCCCACCACTCTGAAGGCAACCGATATTTTGTGGTATCATTGCTACTTTTAAGAGTGTCATCCTCGACTTACTTGTGCATTGGGCTCGCACCGTGCACACACAAGCAATGCCTAGACAATCCTAATCATAGGTCAACTGCCCACGAAGAGAATTGGCTAGCTTCTTCCAAAGCCAACCCACCCCCCACGTGTTTGTGTGGCTGACAATTGGCTAGCTTCTTCATCAACTCCACCGAAAGCCATCTTCGACATACTTGTGCATTGAGAAGGTTTGGTCGTCGTACTCCCAACACAAAAGCATAACCGAGGACAACCCTAAGCTAAAGTTCACCTGAAGTCAACCCATCATCACCACGTGTTCGTGTGGCAACAATTGGCTAGCTTCTTCATCAACTCCGTCGAAAGCTATCCTCGACATACTTGAGCATTGAGAAGGTTTGGTGACTGTACTCCCAACACAAAAGCATAATTGAGGACAACCCCAAGCTAAAGTTCATCTGAAGCCAACCCATTGTCACCCACACGGTGGGTGAATGGTGTGCTTTCCGGGGTTGGCATAGACATTCCCTCGCATGCAAAAGATTGTCTATGCCAACCCCGGGAAGCACACCATTCATCCACTCCTAGCCTGTGTGGTATGGTGGTGAGTGAATAGTTATGGATTGAGGTTGAGCACTTAATTGGTGTACCTATATGGCAGTAAATGTGGGGTCTCATTTATGAGAACGAAAAAGGCTAAGTTCTCTAAAGCTCTTATGAAACTCGGGACATGTTCAGGACCAAAATGAACAAAAACGTATGAACTAACGTTTGTTAAGATGTTATATGTGTGAGACATATTGTCTAGGTTTACTATAGTGGTGAACAGTTCAAGATCAATTATATTCATTGCGTCACCAAGTAAATCCGATATGTTTTCACTAGGGTAAGTTCAAGTCCAAAGGACACTTTTCCTGATGCATATAACATCTGCTTCCTCTCAAATGCATTACATTCATTTAGCACTTTAAGTATAACATTTCAAGTGTGGGGTCTAGAATTTCGATTCAAATGTGGGGTATTGTTGGAAGTTTGAATGAAATTCAAGGACATTTGTCCCACATTGGTAGAAAGAAGAAATGGTGAGGTCTTTATAAGTGTGGAAGTCCCATACTTAGTAAATGGAAGTTGGGCCAAGTGGAAGCCAATTGGGCTTCAAATTCGATTTGGGTATTGAATATTATATAAATAATATTTAATATTTAATTATAAAAAAGATTGGCCTTGGACCTTGGGGCACTTGGGCACTTCATATTTAAATTAATTTTTTTAGTTTATAATGAATAATTTTTTATTAATTCGGATTAGTTTAATTAATTATTTTTTTAACAATTGTGACTCTTCTAATAAGGTTTTAGAAGTTTATTTAAATCAAACAAGGCCTAATTCGTAAAACACATAAAAAAAAGCATTCTACAAGCACATTCATATTGTTTGAGAGGAAAACAATCAAAGTTTACCAGATTCTAAGTCTTGTGCTAGGGCTTAGAATACAGATAGTTGAATCCTAGGAGGCAGTCACCTATAGAACTTCAAGCACCGAGAAGTGGTGAAATTACTGTCTTTAGGATATTGCATCAAATATGCAAGCCTCTATCTCAAATCCAAGTCAATTAATTTATTTATTGTTTATTGTATTTCAATTGACAGTTTATTATAAATTCAATTTCGTTGGTATTTATATATTGTTGATATATATATATATATATATATAATCATTTTTATTAGTCACTGATTGTTGTTTATCCACCAGTTTTAATGCTATTCTATTGCTATTTTTATATACACAAGGGTTGCACTGATAGTTCAGTGATTGGTATAGTTATTATTAGTGTACAAATATTTGAATATAGTGTTCTTCATAAGGGAAAAAATAAAGCTATTGATAACACTAGTAATCGGTAGGGTTACAAGGAAAGAAATAATATATATATTTGGGTTGTAATGATGTGAATATGGTTTAAAAACAGCAATAAAATGCATGACAATGATCCCAATACATTAAAAACAAAAAACAAAAATTGCTACGGTAATAAATAAGCGAATGAGTTTAAGGAAGTGTAGGTGTAAGTTGAAATTTAGACGATAATTTGTTTGGAAGATTTGGTAGTTCCATTAGTAAAATCCTAACTGTTATTGCATGCCAGTAGATGGAATGCAAGAGTAACATGAAATAAACAAAGAATGAATTTTGAGATTTTTTATGTGTCACAAAGGAAGTGTTGTGTTGGAGATGTTGCTGCTTTTAGAGGGGCCTCTTGAATTTTTGTGGAGCTGGCTGGTAGTTTTTGGAGGTTTTACAACATTCACTGAGTTTGTGGGGGAGAGAGAAGATATGCGTTGAGTTTGGGTTTTTGTTTTGAAAAGGCGGTGGCAAAGTCGTAATTTAGTTTTGATTTTTTTTATTGAAATTTGGTCTGGGCTTCAGTCAGTGGCAATGTTGTAATTTACAGGTGTTTGAATGTTGTTTTGTTTTGTTTTTTTTTTGTTTTGAAACGAATGTTGTCTTGTTTATTAAAATGGACTTCGGGTTTTCTACTATTTCTGGCCCCACTATTAGGCCTAAACCTCAAGCAAGAGACTTGCTCTCAAATTATCAGTCTCCTTTAATTTAGAGAGACAATTGAAAGCCGTTCACGCATGCTGCATTTGCGTGGTAGTTAGTTTGTTGCATGCTGGTGGAATGGACTGATTATAATTTATAACACTGATTGATTTTGCAATGTCAAATCACATGTGGTATAACACGTACATTCTTTACTGATATTTGTATCCTAAAATATGAACCCTTCAATTTACCTACAGAAGAAAAGATTCTGAAACAAATATTAAACTGAATTTATAATCACTTCAGTTGGCAAATCATGTATGAAAGTAACATCAGCTTTCAAAGTTCCGTCATGTATTACATATATACATTAAGGGAGAGAGGAGGGGCAGAAGATGTCACCGACGCAACACACGGCAACTCTCCCCAGCTTCCCAATTGTCTTGAGAGCTACATGGTGCTTCCCAATACTTCCTTCTTAGCATTTTCCAGTAAGAACTCAGGCGTATCTACAAAGCAACTGATGCTCAACTTCAGGGTTGCATCCAAAGTGTGTCCATCTTGTTAGCTAAATGAAATCTCTCAACTAAAAGCAGAGAGTACATCTTCTGAGTCCACCTTTACCTGAAAACAACAGACAGGATTGGTGTTGGGAACTTCATACATAGCAACAAGGTTAAAAAGTTCATTCCATTAGTAGCTGTAGATTGAAAATATGACTTACGAGTTCAAGATGGCTCAGCAAAGCTCCATGTAATAAGTTTTTCAGCTTGTTACATTGATCTACCATGTGGCCCAAACTGATCATTTCCTCAAGTTGGCACCACAGACGCTGAACTGCTGTGTATGGAAACCAAACTGCACATGGTCTTTTACGATTGATTATGTCAGCTGGTCTCTGTAGAAGAGAACATCTTAAGTTAAACAACCAGCAGAAATCAACATGAAACCAGATGGTCTCTCTGTAACACTAATGAGATGAAATCAACAAAACTATTTTTGCGTGATGTATCTGTGATACTAACGACATGAAATCAACATACACTATTTTTGTCTCAGTTTTGTTTGTCCTATTTCTCATCTATCAGTATCAGCATCCAGACTATTTAATGGACCTCCTCTTTGCAAAAAACTCAGGTATCATTCTTGAGTGGCATTCGTATTTCTATTGAGGATTGTTATACAAAATAATATGATAGAACTATTAGGCTCCGTCTGGATGGAGGTATTTGAAAGAGAAGATTTGGATTTGACATCAAGGTTAAATTTTATAAGAGATACTATATAACATTAAATTGGATATATTTCAACTAGACGTAGTACATTTGGAATGGATTTCTAATGACTTCTTGCAGAATGACTATGCATGAAGTCATTTGAAATCCATTTGTTTTTTCCGACAAAAATAAAGTAATAAATCTATTTGTTTTCTTCTGTTTTCTTATTCAAATCTTGGCACACATGAATTGTAGTAGTCTCTAAACAAACCATTTAACTTTATAATGTCATCTAAATCCCTAGATTAATCACTCACTCTACATGGACCCTTACAGTATTAATCCAATGGTATATTATAGCCATACAGCCAATGAACTGTCTAGAATGAAACTTAAGAGCATAAATTCTCTCTCTATCCCCTTTATGGCGGCTGCTTTTCTGTATGAAGCAATAGCATTAACTTTTAAAAATGCGAGGTTGACATCATGGATTTTTTTTTTTACCCAAGCTGTAATACAGAAGCTTAAGATAGAAAAGAATAAGCTGCAATTTACCATTGATGCAAACGATCCTATGTACTCGAGCAAAAGATTTGTAGCTTCTCTATATCGACCATAATCAACATATAGTTGGAACAATAACGCTGGATTTGATTCTTGGCCAGTCATGCCCCAAGTCCTTTCCCGCCTACCATCCTGTCAACAGTCAAGTGGGTCACAAGACTATCATGTCACAAGAATGGATTGTTTGAAGTTACCCATCAAATTAAACGGGATATAAGAAATCATAGTTAATAATGAAGGATAAAATAAATAATCTAGGATTTAAGAAAATATAGTTACTGAAAAGGATAAACTTAATAACATAGAATATAAGAAAGCATAGTTAACGAAGAAGTAACGAAGAAGGATAAACTAAAGATGCAGAAAGAGAGGAAGGGAAGGAGAGAGAGAGAGAGAGAGAGAGAGATGATTGTTCAATGAAAGAAGAAAATAAAGTTTGTAAAACGTGCTTCCTCTTTTATTTGCAGAACCACCTAGAGAGTTACCTTGAACATCTTTACCAGCCAAAGAGGCAATTCAATTTGAGGATCCGTACGAAGAAGAGTTTCAGCAACAACTTGCGGTAAACGGGCATGGAACACTTTATATTTTTCCTGCATATTTTGAATATATCAAAAGAGAAAGATAAGATGAAATACTTACAAGAAGCAAAGAGAGAGGATGGGGAAAGGTGAAGAATGAACAACACTCATGGTGGCTTGTTGGATGGTATGAGTATGCATTCTCCTGACTTCCTTTAACAAATGTACATGGACATATTTGACAACAAAAAAGGTAGAAGCACCAGAAAAGGCAGCCTCAGTTACATTTATGTTGATAAAATAGGAAAAGAATAAGATGCATTAATCATAAGTTCATAACTGATAACCTAAAAGGGGTTAAATAGAGTAAAACACTAATCATAATTCATAACCTAAAGGATTTAAATAGAATCTTACTAAAACACTTAACTTAGGAAGCGAGATCATTAAATAAACTAGGAACCATATGTTCTTAGATATTAGAATCCCAATTACAATATACTTTTTTTCGTTACAATGAATGGAATCGAACCCTTGACCTAGCCTGGTCCTAACCCATTTTTTTCGTTCCAATAAATTTTTCTCTGTTGTCAGGTTGGGCAAGCTGATCCAGACTCAAAAATGCAATTATCAGCGTGATTTAGAATACATCAGGTAACTGGCCTTACCAAAGTAACAACTCCCAACTTTTGACTTCAAAACAAGGAAATAAGCCAACACCAGGCATATTTGATTTGTAAACTATCAATCAAATTACATGAAAAGTAATTTAAGGACCTTTCTCTGATATTTATTTAGATTGGAGGGAAGGCGTGTTTTAATTTCAGTCAAGATATTCTGCATCATTAATTTGTACCGTTTTGGTTTTGGTTTAGCAGATATTTTCAGGTGGACTCTGTTCCATTCCCACACTTTGTACAGTTATTTATTTTTAATAGAATGTGTTTCTTTTTTAAAAAATTACATGAAAAGTGATTCAAATCAAAGTACTTCTGAGCTCAACAATGTAAAATATATGTCAAAAATATCAAATAGAAGTTAGTGACACCTTCTGAGGAAGATAATAAATAAATAGTAGGTAAATGCTACCACAGCTGTACTTTTTTTTTAATAGAAACACTTTTTATTCAAAATTGAAGGATAAAATAAGAACATTTAGACCAAACGAACGAAACACTATCCTGAAGAGCAGACACAATGCCACTCAACACAGAAAATAAAACAGCCAAACATAAGAGACCCCTTACGATACTACAGCTAGCAGATTACGCATAATTGTAGGATAGGGTATATTCTTAAAAGCAAGTGAAGTTGATGCCCAAAGAGCAGCCCAAAACTTCACTCTTTCCCATAACTCTTCCACCCCCACTCCCTTATACTCCTCGAATATTCTCCTATTACGTTCCAGCCAAAGGTTCCAGACCACTGCTTGCATCAGACTGCCCCAGAGAATTTTAGCCTTCTTTCCCCTTCCCAAAGCATCAAATCTGATTGAAAAAAGTTCAAAGCATCCTTCCGGTATTACCCACACCGTGTTTACTTCCTTTAGTAACATCTCCCACAATTTTAGGGAGAAAGGGCAATGAAGGAGGAGGTGGTCCACACTCTCCCCTGCCTTATTACATAAAGCACACCAGTGCGGGCTAATGCACACATAGGGACAGTGTCTCTGTAGTTTATCTCCTGTATTAAGTTTTCCCAACACCGCTTGCCACACAAAGATCTTAACTTTTGGAGGAGTCTTGGCCTTCCAAATTTGAGTGTACGGAGAGAAAATCTCCCCTTCACCTCTACTCTGAATATGGGAACATAGAGACTGACAGGAGAATAACCCGGAGGGGTCTAGCTTCCATCTTCTCTTATCCACTCTAGAAGTGACCAATCTTACTCCCTCTAATAAGTCCAATAATCTAGCCACCTCCGCAATCTCTAATTCGTTAAGATTCCTCCTGAAACCAAAATCCCAACTGAGAGGGAACCCATTCGATACCGTAAAGGAGGAAATTATGTGGTTTTGCTTCCTGGACAGATTGAAAAGTCTTGGAAACACCTCTTTCAAAACACCACCCCGGCTCCAATCATCCTCCCAGAATCTGACCCTAACTCCCTCTCCAACCACAAAGACACAGCCTTGACGGAATAAATTATAGCCACTAGAAATATCTCTCCAAGGGCTGCGGCAAGATCCTTGTCTCGCAGGTTTAGCATCCCACCCGTTTGTATCCATTCCATAAATACTTCTGATCGCTTTATGCCATAGAGCATGAGTTTCATTAGGAAACCGCCACAGCCATTTGGCTCTCAAAGCCTCACTCCTAGCTTTCAACGAACCCACTCCTAGTCCTCCACAGATTTTTGCTTTACCCACAATCTCCCATCTCACCGCGTGGTTTTTCTTCCCATCCAAGCCTTCCCACAAGAAATCCCTCATAAGTTTCTCAATTCTATTGGCTACTCCAATGGGAATCCTAAAAAGGGACATGTAGTAAATCGGAATACTACTCAACACTACCTGAATCATTGTGAGTCTTCCCCCTTTTGATAAGCATGCTTTCTTCCATTTTTGTAATCTATTCTCCACCTTTTCCACTACGGGGTCCCAAAACTTGATTGCTCTGGGGTTCCCACCTAGGGGAAGACCCAGATACGACATAGGCCAAGCCCCCACTTCGCATCCCCAAGCTCCTGCCAGCTCATTCAACAGCCCATCCTCAACATTAATGCCAACTAGAGAACATTTCGATTTGTTGATCTTCATTCCTGACATGAAACAGAATAAATCCAAAATCTGAAGGAGATTGTTCCAGTGCTCTTCTTTATCCCTACCACAGCTGTACTTATAATCAAAGGTTTCTATCTTGCTCTTTCTAATTTGAAATACATCACTAAAATCTTTATATATAGCACGATCATGGATTCTTAAGAGATGGTGTCTATCGTATCTAAAATCACATATGGATTGTACTAGTGTCATAAACCCCTTAAAATCCCAAATCTTGAGACTATTGTTTTCTTTTTCAATAATGTCAACATGAAAACTATTCCTTTTTCTATTAATCATATTGAATAGTTGTAATATTTGAAAAAAGAGAGTTGAGGGTTAAGAAGCAGCTCAAATAGATTGAAGATGCAGAAGATGCTTACAAGATAAAGCTCAAGAGTTCCCCATTGACTGATTCCCTTAGATTGTTGATTTGTATCAGGTGAACCATGAACAACTACTTCATCCTTTAATGAAGTCAACAGAAGACCATGTGCTCTGGGATCATCCCTGAAAGTTATAAATTACGTCATTTCGATTCAGTTACAAAGAAATTACTACAAGATCTGGACTGTACACTTATCAAAGTTTTTAAGCCGATTGTATAACAAGGGTAAGATTTATCTTACCCGACCCATGAAGAATCAACTCTATGTGGACAGCAGCATTTCAATGACATGGCAGAGAAAACTCTTTCCAATCCCCTGAACAAAACACAACTCTAGGTTTTATGCATTACAAAGGAAATATATTATGGCTGTAATATTATGATAGAGACCTATACCTCTTTAACTCTGAACCTTTTAAGAATCTTAAAAGAATTGTAAATGCCATATCATATAAATTTGCCTGGATCAGGAGATCAACAACCTCCAGTGGTGTTTTCTGGGTTCCTGAAGGAAATCATGGGTATTTCAACAATTATCTAAACATGGATAAGAAAAGAGAGAGATAAGAAAAGGGAAGAGAAGAAAAGAAAAGCAAACACTTCAAACATGGGATGGAAGTGTTTGCCTTCCTTTTGTATGCTCTTCCAACCCAACCATGAGACGCAGAGATCAATCTGCTCATAAAAAGTAACATGGGACAGCCTGGATATACTGGGAAATTAAGCTAAAATAGAATTTTACCACTAGATGTCAACTTGACATGTGCCAATGAAAGCAAATATTCTGCTGAAGTAAGCACAAACTCGTTCTCAATTTTCTCAATATCAATATAAGATTTCCCTGTTTGAGGGTGAACATCATTGCTGGCAGCTGCAATAAAAATTACACTTATCACCACGTCAAAACATAACAGTATACAATGCAAATGTGGACACAGAAAATATTAGATTAGAAAGTTCTATATGAGACATATACGCATGTAATTGTATGTATGTACATTCATGGTCTCTTACTGGTGAGCACAAAAACCCATCCAGAAACGAATTAAATAATAGGATTTCAAAATCAGCCATTGAATTTTGATCAACTTGTTGGCCGGCAAGAATTTGTGGCTCATCGGTAGGTAGAAGCTAAAAAGTATATAATTTCAGTTACGTGTGTCAGTCATGAGAACAATTAAAGATGCAGACGCAATTAAACAAATGTTTGATTGTTGCATTATTTACTTTGTTCATCTATGGTAATTTTAGCCTTTTTACTCGGATACTGCTCATTGTGAAGATAACTTCTCTCAGGTAGAGGATCAATCCAAGCATAGGCAGGATGAACAAGATGAAGTGCATTGATAGCAGCAGAGAGCCCATTGAGGATCTCCTTTAGTGCCAGTGACGTGTTCTGGTAATCTTTCAGAGCTGTCTCTGTTCTCAAACGAACAGAATATAGGTACATGTAGCTTGCTGCTCTTCTCCAGTTATGTCGATGCATTTCAAATGCATAAAGCAACTTATATAAGTTTGGCTTTGCCAAAACATCTGAACAATCTGCCTGCAGATTTAAGATAGACAAAAAATCACCAGGATACAAAAATGCATGAACCTACATTGAAATACTGTATCCAAGGCTCTACAACTCGACCATACCTTCCTGGCAAGCTCTTGCTCTACCTTCTCTGTAAGGCCAATGAACGGTAGCTGACCACCACAAAGAATCTGCAATAAACAACAATGGAAGAAATCTAGTAATAAGAAAAACCCTCATAGGAGAATTAGCCTCAGTAGTACAAGCTTAAGCTCAAAAAGGGATAACCAAACACATTACAGAAAGCACAATATTCAAATATTTTTCTAAAACAAAAATAACAATGCATAACTTTTCATGCAGGGAATGAGAAACGCAGTGCATTGGAAATAGGAAATATAGCTGATTTGAGTCGAAAATGTGAAGTTATTTTGAATATAGAAAGTCAGCACTCTACCCTCTGGGGTCTGTCAAATGTAAAGAAAATTATCTAAGTCACCATCAGACTCAAAGAAAGATATGGTACAAAACAATATGGGAATTGTTATTGGCACTCCAAACAAAGTGATCATGCACTCCTCGTCCATTACAAAAACATAATATGGAAATTGCACTTCAAGGAGTATACGATGACATTGAGTGTCGATAACAGCTCCCAACAAATATATATATACACAGTTATTCTCTCATCCAGACGTCCACGCGTTATTGTAAACAGGGAGGAAAGCAGGGAGGGGTAGTAGAAAATACACACGTCCAGATGTCCACATAAATACATATTGCAAATTAGTCAAGACAAAACCTGGAAAAGAATGTTGAAAGCGAAGACAGGTTAATTGAAAATGTGAATAAAAACCTTTATGGCACCACGTTCATAAAGAACAATTATCAGACGCCTCAAGCAGATGTACTTGCTCTCCTCATCTGGGTTTGAAATTATTGCACAATATGCATCATAAAAGAGATTAAGATCTAAAGTAAACTTGAAGACATTTGCCCAAAGTCGTCCTTTGATGGTAGATACTGATTCATTGATTGAGTCTTGTCCATGGAACTCATCTTTTTCATTAAAAGCTTCCTCAACTTGCTCAAGCGCAGCAAGAGCAAACTGACATGCACCTTCACTAATATTATATTGCTCAAATATCTGCATAGCCCACTGATAGTAATGGAGCCTCCATGCTGCAGCTGATATGCTACCAGCTAGAGAGAGATAAAAAGGAAAATGAAAGAGTTAATAAAAACAAAAAAAGGAAAAACATAATCATCTGCCTAATATGTAAAAGTTAAATAACCCACTAAAACCAAGATCTGGCAACCCCAATTCCTGAGGCAAACTCCGTAAAGCCTCAGATGACCCTTTTCCAGATGAAGCTCTGAAAAGAAAAATCAAAATATCAGTCTTCGTTATGGAATGCAATGAGCTATTCTATTCCTAAGTGCAAATGATAGCATTATGCGTGAATATTATTATGTTGGAACTTTTTCTATTTCATACGAATGCACATTATTTTCCCTTCTTTTTCTGATTTAACAATAAGCTTTTTCATTCTTACAAAGCATCCAGACATGACAAAGTGAAAACATGTGTCAGAAGTGTAAAATGTATTGTTCACTAATATTATAGCAAAGCTGTAAAGGTGAATGCTAGTTTTTATTTAATACAGGGCCATTCAAGTGCAGGGCAGTAGAATGGAGTATGTTTTGCAAAACAAGCAGCTGTATACATTATATTAAAAACTCACAGATTCTCTTCAGCTGTGTACGTTACATCAAAATCAATGAATTTATTGGGTTGATTTTGTGGTTCAAAAAATCAACATGCGCACTTGTTTGGACTATTTGAGTTTTGGGGAAAATAAAAAGGTTATTTTTGCATGAGTCTTATCATATTTAACTTTTATTAGTCATGATTGAAAATAATTATAAGAAATTCTATTTAAATTGAACAAAATTGCATTGTTATGTACCTTTACCAGCATGTGTACCATGCAATAACTCAATTAGACAATATTCAACACAACACTGTCTCCAAGAAAGCTTAGTTCAAGCTTTTCACTATTTCAATTATCTTGGTAAGAAGAAAGTCACCTTATATGAATAATTTTGAACAATATAAATATCTTCAGGAAAAGATGGGGAAAAAAGCATAACTTGAAGTAGAAGTTTCACATCTTATTTAATTTCTTTAACAAGTCAGATCCAAGGCCCCTTCAAGAGTTAGGCGATGAGCGAAAGAATTACAACACATAGAATACCTGAAGAAACAACGAACAGCTTCATTGATTTTCCTGTCTTTCAGTACTCCATGCAACCCACGGTGTGCCTGAGAAAGGAAGCAGCATCCTAAAAGATGATGAAGTATGCACCATCCTCCCTCTGTATCTTGGATACTATGAGATGTCTTCTCCTTTTGTAAATGTGCCTCCACAATAGTGAGTAGGTGCTTTACAGAGTATAGAAAAGTAACAATAATAATAGTAAGTACATAGTTAAGCAACGTATTCTCAAATAAGAAAAGTTTAAAGGCTAGTCAGAAAATGGAGGAAGAGAAATAACCTCAACCGCATCATACTGCCCATGCCTTAGGAGGATCAAAGCAAGATCCGTTGCACGGCTGAGGAAGGTAAAGCAATCCCCAGCATGGCCCCAAATGATCCAGCTAGCGAAGTCCCGCATTGAAATAATAATGTCATGCATGTCTGGTATGCTTCTTGAAGAGAGGCGGTTTTGGTCTCTGGAGGAACTTCGAATATTTAGTATGAATATAAAAGCCAGAGTGAACTCGCACTTCCCAAGCTTCTCATTCAATGATCTTTTGCCCATGTTGCTATCTGAATTGTGGACATTGGATGATCATCAGAACCATGCTAAATCAGCAACATTAACAACTAAGGACCCAGACAAAGCATAAACCTACCAATTTGTAATAATGAAAGTTGGGAACTGAAATCTTCAATAGCAGCTGGTTCAGACGGCGTGGTGGCAAAGAAATGTATAAGAAGCCACTCAGAAATGAATTCTTGAATCATTGGAATCAAGTCAAGTTGAATTTTGGATATATCATCATGCAGCATATGGATCTGCATGCAAACCGAGAGAAATGTTTGACACATTATAAGTTTATGGATTGATCAAATTCAAAAGGAAAACAAATACCCTTATTGTGGAATAAGTAGTCATACAAAAACTCTCAAAGATGGGAGAAGCAAATGCTTTGAAAAAATATATATATATTAAAAAAACCAAAGTAAATATACTAATAAAGTTTTATTGCATAGAAAATCTGTCTGACAAAAAAAAATTGAAATCCTTTTTTTCGGTAAACAAAAAAAAATTTAATCTTTTTTTCTTTTAAAAATATTTATCATAAAAAACGAATTTTGATACATTGAAAACACTCAATTAGAAGTCTTGCTATTTGACCAGAAGTGAGAAAACAAAATCAAAGTAAAAATAAAAAACTGACCTGCCCACTAATGCTCACTAGATAGCTTAGAAACAGAAGAATGTCCAGTGCAGACTCAAACATAACCTTCGCAACTTGAGAAGTAGCCTGGACCACGATGGAAGCACTGATATCCAATGATATTTCAGCATCAAATTTTTGAACGATTTTCTGAGGTATGAGAAATTTTAGATAACTCTCAATCGCGTTTAAGATTCGACTCCATGTGCCAGATTTCTTGTGCAAAGCATGAAGAGATAACAGCATGTCGATCGAAAATTTCCTCAAATTTTTGTGATCTGCCAGGCTTTTCTCCCAAGCAACATCAGGTCCAAGATCTGATATATGAAGCATTGATACTGTTGAACTATATCCAGTCTCTAAAATCTTCAATAGGCGACGAGTAATCTCCTCAGGTGATATAACTGGTGGTGCACTGAGGAGTGATTCATAAAATATAGCGGAAGCTGTTTTGCCCAATTGTTGGCTGACATTAACAACACATCTGAGCATTTCAACGAGCACCTCAAATTCAGGAGCATCATCAAATAAATCCAACCCAAAGCCAACAAGATCGCCAAGGTCATCACAAATGCCTAACAAACATGAATACGAAAATTCCAAAAAAGGGGGCACACAGTTAAAACAGGAAATAATTTGTCAGAAAGCGAAAAAAATAAAAAAAGGATTTATCTCCATTCGGATAAAACAAGGGTCACTGAGATACCATCATTAAGCCGCTCAATATCCTCCAAACAACGAAAAAAAGATACCGAATTCTTTCTGACCAAACCAAAAGTGCCCGTGGAGGAATCAACAAGCAAACCGCATGGTGCATTGCTCTTGCACCAGTTTTGAAAGTAGCGAGAACATAAATTCTTCCAGCAGCAAAATATTGACGTTGAATTATCATTGACACCCTAAAACAAAATACAATACAACAGTTATCAGTTTGCTAGCAACTTCAGGTGATTCCTTTGTCCGCATGTGCATGTGTGTGTGAATCAATTGAAACTACAACAGAAACCTCATGTTCAATGACGGAAAGGATTTCCTTCTTCAACATATCAGCAGTTAAGGACTGGAAATCTGAATCACTCCAGTGCCTATTATAATCCAGCAAAGTTGAGCGCAAGGCAATGCTATGATAAACCCCAGGAAGAAGCAGCCTGCGTAAGAAAGTCGAAGATACAACTTGTACAATATGATCCTGCAGAAAGTTACATAAAGCAAAACATCATAAAAAACATATTAACATATAATAGCATCCAGCCTGGCAACAATGAACATCTTACATAAATTTGTACTTTTTAAAAATATTTTTTTTATATGCATTAATACTAAGCACATTTACAAGGCTAACCCTTAATCCCAACTATCAGGTGTTATCTACATCTCCATGAATCCTTTTTCAAACTAATTGTAATCTGCCAGTAGATAAACAAGGAGCCTCTGAAGTGGACTTCCTCCTTTTAAGAAAAGGACTGAATATGGAGATAATCTTGTAATGTAGTTCAATGATTGAAAACGTCCATTATTTAGGTCCCCATTCAAGGGATCAACTCTACAAAAAAAAGTAGCCAAATTGGAAGCTTTCAAGACCGAAGCTAGCACCCACTCAGCCATATCTTCAAAAGAGAATCCCCATTTTATTTTTATCCTTATTTTATTTGTATGCTATTTAGTTATCTAATTGTGATCAAATAAAACAGATGAAAACAATGTTTCCAATAAATACTGAAATGATAAAGATAATCAAATGACTAGACAATTTCTGATATAGTCATCATATGATTTGGATCACTGGACCATATTGTCTGGTAGGCCCCAACAATTGGTCCTTTCTTTCTTTGAAAGAAGATGTCCACTTTAGAAGCTCTCTCGTACATATTTACTACACTCGTCTCTTTTGCAGAGTGTTAAGTTATGGAGTTGGTGTGTAGCTGCGGATGGGATTGAATTTAAATCCCAGCCAGTGTTTTCCATTCTTGACCCACTGAACCCACCATCTGTTAATTGATAGAAAGGCTCAAAAGTGAATTCCTAACTGTTAGCTTATTCAAGGTTTCATTCTCTCTCTAAGGTAACTCTCTCATCTTGATAATGACAAGTGAGATCTAACAGAGGGATTTAGTGCATCAAGGCTCAAGAGAAAGAAAGCACGGGTTGGGATTAAAAGCATATACAATGAAAGGAATGCGAATGAAGGAAATTCAGTCCAACTAGTTCTTCTAAATGTGTGTGGCTACTATTGCTGGTCCGCACTTTCGTCCACAAAAGAGAATCCATTATAAGTAAATAAATCCATATACAAATGCACAAATGCTGGTAGCATCCATCTGCAAGTGAATTCGTCCCAATGAAATTGCCATGACATACCTAATTACATTTTATGCAAAGGTGGAAGATTTTCCAGCTCTTGGTAACATCAAGTTTTCAGATAGTAACCTGACAATCCTGAGGGAAAAGGGAACAAAAAAATTCTACGCTGTAAACAGAAATATTTAACTGATATAGTCATCATACCTTTGAAGATGAGAATACTGAATGTGTTAACAAAAGAAGGTCATCTGAAGAATGCTCAGAACTTTGAAACAATTGATCTGCAACGAAGTCCTCCTGCAAGGCGTAAGAACATGCATCTTCCCTGGAAGTGTAGGGTTTAGGCAAAATAACAACAAAAAAACGAAAAGAATGAGGCGAAGTTATACATTGAAAAGAAAAGCACGTTCTGAAAGATAGCTAGTACTCCCAATTACTATATTTAAAGAATACATTTCAAATTATATAATAATGAGTATAAAAAGGTGTAGTTCTAAGATATTCTAGAATAATTATTACATAATGAAATATGAGTTATTATAGTTATTCTTTCCACTAAAAAACAAAGCTAATGTACATTTCTTATATATATACATAATGAAAATTTTAAAAATGTACCCAACAATGAAATTGTCAATGAAGTTATGCATAAATTAGCCGTAATAATGCAAGATTTAATTTCATACTTTTCATCAGCTCTCATTGACATAGTATATTATGAAATTTTGTTGCTTAATACATGCATTGATAATGGACTAAACAGGAGAACATTATGATCTGGAATTTATGGATGGAGCGCAACAGGAGAATATTTGATGATTATAATGGTGTAGGAGCGAGTGAGTTGTTGGAGAGTGAAGTTCTGGGCGGCCTTGTGGGCGTCCATCACTCCTGTGTTTAGAAATGTGGCTGTTTCGTCTATTATGCGAGACTTATTAGGGGCTGTGATTTGATGTTTGTTTGTGCGGTGTTTTCTTGCTTTTGCCTTTTGCTGTTCCTTTGGTGTTTTGTTCTCGAGGCAGCATTTTCTCTTGTTTTGTGCATTCTCATGTGGATCCCTTAACCACATCTTGTGTTTTGTTACCCTAATTTGAATATAACGTTTCTATTCAAATAAATAAATAAATAAATAATGGACTAAACACTCATTAAAGTTTTAGTTCAAATTTCCGTGTTTTTAAGCCAATATCTGTTGTTTTGGTTGATTTTCACCGACAGAATAAAGATATCAATTTATCTCCCGATATATCCGTATATTTGAGTACGGAAATTATATGCACAGCTGATATTTTCATCATTGCTTACAAACAATAGAAAGGGGTGCCCTAGCACACAAGAAGCATTCAAGAGAACTTTTTTTTTTTTAAAGAAACAATTTATTAAGAAAAAAAGGAGTACAAGAAAGTCAACAAGGAGTACACCAATGAAAAAAAAGTACAACTGATTGCAATAAAGAATTTACGAAAAGCTTCCTTCTTATATAGCATAAAAGAGAAGAGAAAAACTTCGCATACGAAACTATAACAAAGGAATTATCCTATAGCTGCCATTCAAGAGAGAACAATTAAAGGAAAAGAAGGAAAATGCAACCCTAGGTAAAAAAAGGACTGAAAAAAAGTCAACAAAAATTAACAGGGACAAATTCACTTACGTATTGACATTCGTCAACAAGTTGTGAAGTACCAATCCATTATTTTTCAGTATGCATATCTTGTCGGAAGTAAGTTTGACATCAACCCATCCAACCTATAACAAAATCACATTGACATCACTGTTGGTGTAATGAATATTCACATGAAAAATAAAAGGCAGTGGATGGACAAAAAAATTGTGGTACCTCCTCCAAAGGAATATTTATCGCTGAAGGTTCCAGCATTAAAAGGAATCTATCCCCAAAATTACAACGGAGGCTATATGCATAGATCGTCTCTGAGCTGATATCCTTCATGATTGGACCAAGGAATCAATCAGAACAACAGCAAAAAATGCAAGCATAGTCACAGGTGGGTCACTAATTGCATATACAAGAACCATCAAGTCATACTACAGAAAATATTACTTACTTAAAACTGCAATTTAAAAAAGAACCAGTTTAATATGGCAATGATAAACTCTCACTAGTTTTCCTTTTTTATTTTCTTTTTTGGATAGGAAACACTAGTTATTTTCTTCTTTGAAAATTAATTTTCTAGAGTTGCTTCTTAAACTGCAAAAAGAGATGCTGTTGCTGACTATATCACTGTCGAATGGATGATTACAATGCAGTTCAACTTTAAATAGGCTGGTGCAGGACTGCATGTTGGAATTGGTTGTCACAATTTTGGCCTCATCATATTCTGTGAAGGTAAGAAGATGGGAGAGTGATTGGACCAGGTGGTTTCCCAGAAAAGATGCAAAATTTTATTTTAAAATCTATTCATCAAACTTGAAAAGGTAGGCAGTAATTAAAATTTCCTTCCAATGGCATTTGGAAGTCTTAAGTCCCACATACTCTTTAATTGGGAAACGTCATCCTGACAAAATCATCACGGTGGATAATTTGAGAAAAGGCATATATGTGACACAGATTAGTTTTGTAAGTGAAAACTGGGTACAGGAAACCCAGAATTTTCTGGGACAACTGCACCCAGAGGGTGCAATATAAACACTCAAATATAAGACCTGAAATCAATGCTATTACATCTAGAAGGAACCTTTAAAAAAATTCTATGGCCGGGTTAGCTCAAAGGAACCTCCGTTTTTTCTTCTTTTTTCAGTTTTGACCCATTATATAATCACCTAGATGCCTTCAAAAATAACCAAAAGCGTCAAACTCCTTAATTGTAACTGCTTACCATCTATTGACAAGCTGGTTTAATAGAATGTATCTCGTAAAATAAAGGCAAATGTCACTCACTGTTATGTCAATTACATTCGATTTCTGGATGTATTGAAGCGACAAGCAAGGAGATGGTCAGGTTTCAGATTCTGTAAACGAAACCGAAAACTTAAGTTGGAAGTGGGGAGGTTGAATGAGCCAATCGATGTGTGGCTAAAGTTTGTTGAGGGATTGGAAAGTTTATTCAATGCGTCTTTAGGAACTAAAGTAGTCAACGTCCCCTAATCTTTCCTTCCTCCTTTTTTGGACAAACTCCACTTATAAGCATGGAAAGTAGGAGAAAGGAAAACTCTCAACTTTTAACAGTCAAGTTCAAATTATTTAACAGAATACCCTGTTCTTCACATCTCTATCCAGTTTTCATAATTTATTATTTAATAAGTGTACCCTTAACCGGGAGTGATATAGAAAACTATTAACTACAATAAATAGAAATATTTTCACATACAAATAAGAAAGACAATGAGCGGTACGGAGGACATGTTACAATGAAACTTTCCCTCCAATAAAAAAATTTAATTCTTAGCACTTATTTCACATATACGTACCGAAGTATGCCTGTACAAGATTGCCAAAGGAATCATGTTTGAATCACTGTCAACTTGACCAATCCATAACCTTACCAATGTAGCACCTGAAAGTAAACAATAAAAGAAAATATTTGAATACTATATAAGTAGATTCTTTGCTATTTAAAATGGATACACAGACAAGAACGTAATAACATAACTCAGAACTGTGTGCGAACAATTTTTTGCAATTTTAATAAACAATAAATAATTATATATTCTATTTTAAACAACGATTGGTAATACGTTGGTAGACTGCTAAGAACCGCTTGTATCAACGTGAGTCGACCTCCCCTTGAAAGAAAAGCCAATTTCCATCCCTCCAGTATTTTTTCAACTCTCTGTCACTGGATTCCAGAAATTGATAGCCCTTGGATTGCCTCCTAAAGGGAGCCCTAAATATTTCAACAGCCATAACCCAACTCCGCTGCCAATCTCTCTAACTTGCCTTCCTCAGTGTTTATCGTAACCAGAGAACATTTACCTTTATGAATTTTAAAGATGTCATGTAAAAACAATCCAGAACTGATAACAAGTTGGCCCATTTCTGTTGATCTCCTTCCACACAAAAATATAGCATTGTCCGCAAACTGTAAATGTGAAACTTCTACCTCCTACCTGCCAACAACCAACCCTGAAACCAACTGATGTTCTTTGGCTTTATCGATGAACCTTCCTAATGCATCCAACACCAGAGTGAACAAAAAAGGTGACAATGAATCCCCTTGACTTAGCCCCTAGAAGCCCCAAATCTAGCACCCATTTGGTGTGCTGGTTAATATGGTTGGATAGGATTCATGATCCTAGTCAAATGTTTGGTAGCCTGAAAAGAACCTGGATTGGATTATATAAAATCTTACTAGGCCTACATACGTAGTAAGATTATGAATCCCACCAAAAGGTTGGGATTAAGTTGGATTGGATTATGCTTAAACCTGTTAGGCCATGTAATAACATATTTCAATTAATCCAGTCCCTTAATCATGTGTAGTATTAACATCATTGGATTAGTGTTATCCTCTCCAATCCAATGTGAACAAGTTGTCCACTTGTCGCACTACAACATCCTAACTATCCAAACTCCTATCAAAGCTAGAACTGACGGCCCACTGCCTTCCAACCTAATAAAACAGCAGAAAATATACACGCCTAAATCCGCCTGAAACAGAAGCTCAAAGTGAAGACTGAATCTTCAAAAATTCTCTTTTTATTTCCATCCAAAAAACTCAAATAACAACCCAAATAACACTAGCTTTCTTCCCACATTCCTACCCCCAGAAACTTATCCTTCTCACTTTATGAAAGAGAGACAATCCTTTGGAATTACCCAGACATTTGCTTCCATAAAGCATTTCTGCCACAAGCTTATGAACACTTACTCAAGATTTCCAAGAATTATGATTCTTGGGGATGCCAGAATTTGCATAAAACATTAGGAAGTCACTTTCCCAGCATATCTTGCTCACATTGTATTTTATTAAATCAATAGAAGTGACTAATTGAAGCTAATGCAGGACTTTACAACGCTTCTACAAGTCAACGCCTTAAGATGAGTAAGTGATCAGCAACTGTATCATACACAGATCGTAGGCCCAAGGTGGGACAACCTCAAAAACCCTCATCACATTTTAATATGTAACTGGTCCAGTGAGGTATTGCATACCCTGATTGGGTGGTGCAAGCCAACGTCCCTGTTAAATTGTATTCCATCAATTTTAAAGGAACATGGTATGAGCACAGCTAATTCTATATACAAATGGAAAAATATGTCACAATAATTTTTAAGAAGTTCATCCATGTACAAAAAAGTAAATCTATGAAATATGTCTTCTAAATAGAGATTTTTGGTTGACGTTTTTCTATTATAATGCGGTAATGAAAAGGGACGACTCAATGATGGACAACATAAAGAAGTAAGTATTAACAATAACAAAAAGAATGGGGAAAAGTGATAGTACTTGCCTGCCAGTGTCGGACTGTTCATGTTATTACTAAAGAGCCTGCTATGGCATGAAAGATCCCACACTCGTAACATCCCATCAGAATGAAGCACAAATACAAGTGGCTTTCCATGAACGACTGATATCACCAAGTCCTGCACAGCCCCTAGCATCCTACCCCTGCGTTATATGTTCAGCTACCATTTATTGAATCACATTTCCAGGGGATAGAAGAGTAATAAATATATATGTATTGCAACATAGAAATAGAAATCATATAGTTCAAGAAAGAAAACTAAACTGCCCCTTGTGGTTTTTAGCAAACTCTTTTAGTTACTTATCACAAAATGCTAGAATACACAACACATCTAGCATTTTACACATTGTAACAAAATATCCTACGTTCAATCTAAAGAGGAGAGGACCTAGTTAACTCATAGTATTACCTCTTCATATTTCATTTAACCTCCAACATTCCAAACATGAAAATAATACTAAACAGATAAAAAGAAAGATGATAACATTTTTAGCATTTCAAGAATGTTTAATTCACAGTATAACCAAACAATGAATACTCAAATTGATTTCTACATGGGATAGGGAAGTTCGAGGCTGGACCCCATGTAGCCCCAAATGGGGGTCTAAAGATGGAAGAATTAGAAATGAAAAAGATATATAAATTGCCTGCATAATCTGCAGCCCTTGGCATCCAATTGCCAAGTCAAGGAAGAGCTTAGGGTTCATGACACAATTGGAATTTGGAAACATACTTAGATTCAATGTTAGTTAAGAAAATCTTAAGTTACAAAAGAATGTGAGAAAGTCAGGCTAATATATTGTAATGTTTAAATATGCATATACATAAGAGGACGGCTTGATTCTGGCCATATGTAGATGTCAGGGTTCCTATTTCATCCTATTCCAAAATGGTATATGTAAGCCATTTCACATTTATTGTACTATCTGATAACATTTAAAATTCAATTTAATCTACTTTGTCAAGCACCTGAGATTCAACTCTCATAGACCAGAAGCATCATCAGCACACAAGACTAGGTTAATTATTCAAAACAACTTATTAAGAAATAATAACAAAGACAAACACATTAGCAAACTAAATTTTTTTCGTGTACATTATTCTGATAATGTAGTCAACAAGCATACCTTGACATGAAACCCCACAAACGACCAATTCCCGAATCATCCCGCAGCTCCCTCACAAAACCTATGGGCAAGGGAGAAAAATATAGGGAATTAATGTGGTGCAAAAGAGCAGCATGCTTGATAACAAGTCCAGAATATGAACAATTTTAATACATCACGACAGTGTCAAATTGTCAAAGGAAAAACCACTAGACTGATGGAGCTGAAGGAAACCATGCTTAAAAGTAAATTAATGGTAACAAGGGCACACAAGTCAAGAACAGAGGGCAGGAGAATTTGATAATACCAGGAGCAGAGGGGTCAAGTGAGCCCAGTTGGAGACAAGCAAGGGATCCGTCACCCCGCCCAAGTACAAGGCACCCAGATGGTGTTGCTGCAGCACTTGTTACTGGTCCGTAGGCGTTGACATTAAACTCCACAAGCTCATCCAGCCGGAAACCAGAGCGGGATACATAAGTAGAGATGGGTCCAAGTCTCAAAAGGTAAGCGACCCCTGAGACAGTCAATGCATAAAGCAAGTAGGGGTGGCTCTTAGAACCTACATCAATCTGCAATGTATATAACAATTTATTACTCATTTTGCTCCTTTTTACAAAGAAACGCTAGCTTAGAGTAGACAGTAAGAATACCTCATTTTTACAAAGAAGAAGCAAGGGAGAGAGCGCATCTGGAAAAGTGATTCGAAGCCCAACTTTGGAGAAGTCTTTAGAAGCACTGAGCTCAAGTAGTTCGAGAGCATGAGGAAGATTCTTGTGAATTTTCCTGTTACACGAGCCACAACAAATTAACAGCATAGATTGAAAAATGCACGAATTTGAAATACGTTGAGAGGGACAAGCAAGGAGAGAAAGAAAACCATATGAGATATGTAGGAGGTTCTCCAATGGCGATGGAAGAGGCGCAATCGTCGGTGACAGGAGGGACGCAAGGAGCATCAGTGGAGGCGAAGGCAGAGGCATCAGAAGGACCAGAAGAAGAAGAAGAAACAGGGACGTCAATCCATTTCAATGAATCGCTGCCAATGATTGGGACCTCCATGCCTACCAGTATCGATCTACTTCCCATCTTCTGGTATGAATAACGCTAAAACCCTAGGCCAGTCCAAAATTAATTCACCCTAAACCCCTAAACCCAAACCCAAACCCTGCAAGCAAGAACACAGTATACAAAAAAGGGCTAAAACGCAAACGCGCTTAATAATCCAAAACGCTAGCTAAACTTCGGGGCAAAGGACTCAAAAGTTTTTGTTACGAGCCATTTCATTTAGAAGAGCGCGAAAACCTTTTGTTAAAAATGGAACTTATAAGCCCCGTTTGAGATTGCTTTTTTTTTGTCAAAAATCTGCTTCATTTTAAAGTTATGTAGTTTAAGATGTTTGGTAAAAATAAAATATCTCAATTATTTTAAAAGCAGTGGCCTTTTGACAGCAGCTTTTTAAAAGGCAACTGCTTTGACTCTAGGTTGCTTTTTAAAGTTGTTTTCAAAAGAAGTAGAGATGAACCTTTAATGAATTTTTTTAATTCCCAAAATACCATCATTCATTTTAAAAAATGACACCCCCTCCACTTCCACATCCAACTCCACCACTTGCACCACCACATTCACTACCTCCACAACCACCGCCACCGCCACCGCCACCACCACCACATCCTCCTCCTCCTCATCCTCCGTCACCACCTCCACAACCACCACCGCCTCCACCACCACCACCACCACCTCCACAACCAACACCACCATCACCACCATGCTGTCATTGCCACCACCACCACCACCTCCACAACCGTCATCCCCACCACCACCACCACCACCACTACCACAACCAACAACTCCACCTTCATCACCACCACCACCTCCACTCCATCACCACCACTACCACCACATGATTATTACATAACACTTTCAACATCATGTCTATTTTAGTCATTAGTCACAGTTACAACAATTTTATATTAAAATTTACCAAACGATTTTGACACTGCTTTTTGTACTAACAGCACTTTAAAAATATTGTTTACCAAACATGGAGCTGCTTTACTTTACAGCTAATTATTTTCAAAGCACAGCAGAAGCAACTTTTTTTAAAAGTGACAGCAATCCCAAACTAGGCCTAAAGCCTCTTTTATTATTCATAGTAACTTCTTTTAGTTTTTGAGTAGAAGCAATAGTCTAAAGTAACATGGAAGGGTTTCTCAAACACACAACCAAGATGTTATGGGGTTCGAAACTGAGACCTCTTGCCTGCAAGTCAAGGTCTTGTTTCACTCGACTAGACCCATTTGGCATTCATAATCACTTTTACATTTCTCTGTCAAACACAGAAGTGCTTTTGATTGTCACAAGCGCTTGTAGCATTTTAGAAAGCCCTCTGAGACCTTTAAATGCATCACATATCACTTAGGGGTCGTTTTGGGAGTGATCCTAGATGGTCAATAATCACTTCTATATAGAATCACTTCTCAATTTCACTTTTTAAGTGATTTTATGGAATTGCTTAAAATCACTTAAAGCGATGCATAATCACGTGGGAGGTGCTTCTCCCCAAAAGTGATTCTGGCCCTCTGAGAATCACTCCCAAACGAGCCCTTAGAGCTCATTTGGGAGTGTTTACGTAGAAGGGATTTTACTCATGAGTAATCTTTGGGCTAGTTTGGCATTGTTGTGCTTTAAAAAAAAAGTTGTTTCTGCTATACTGCAAGAATAATCAGTTGTGAAAAAAAGTTGCTAGACGTTTAGTAAACTGTATTTAAAAAAGTGTTGTGAGTAGTCAAAGTGTTTGGTAAAATTTTATCAAAAGTGCTTTTAGTATGTATAATGACCAAAAATAACATGATAGAGAAACAATGACCCTTTTTCTTTTTTTTTTTTGCCAAAAAGGAAATCAACTTCTCTACATATACTTATCCTTTTTTTGCCAAAAAGTTCAGATTAAATCAAATAAAAAAGTCAGATAAGTTAAATAAATAAATAAAACCCAACTCTCTCTCAAAAAAAAAAAAAAAAATTCAACACGATCTGGTTTGAGTTCCACAACTCCCTCTTTGCTCTGTGTATGTGAATAACGGGAAGATTGGATTTGTTTTGCTGGGGAAGGTTGGGGTTGGATTTTCCTTGGCTGGAGATGACGAGATGGGGAAGCTGGGGATTGGATTTTTTGTGGTTAGAGTGAGGAAGAAGAAGAATTGATCTACACAGAGAGAGGAAAAAGAACCCCACCCGACCTCGATATCACCACACCCAACCCCTTCCTCCACGCCAGCCCCACACGACGAACCCCACCCAACCCAACCACCACCCTTGTTCATGTTTTCTTCCATGCATTTGTGCAGTGAGGAAGAAGAAGAGAGAAGAATTGAAGTTTTCTCAGTTCCCAAATCTAGGGTTTTTCAATCAAATTCAAATTTTTTTGCAGCTCGTTTGTGTTTTCTATTAAATCAGAAGTGTGCTGTGATGAGACTATTTGTGGACTAGAGTTTATGATCTGGGTTCTTCTCCTAAAAGTTTGATCTATTCAAAAAAAAAAAAGGAAGAAGAAGAATTGATTTGCAGTGAGAAGAAGGAAAAAGAAGACAGTGCAGAATGAGAAGGATAAGGGTTGTCATTTTGGAAAAGTCGTCAGGGCATTATGGGAAAAACGAAAATTTCATTGAAAGGACCGGTTGTTTTTTTAAAAGCAGCTTGTCAAAGTTTACCAAACACTTTCACTTGCAAAACTTTTTTTTAAAGCCGCTTTTTTTTACTCACCACAATCCCAAATGCTACCTTAGCATAATCACTATATGCTAGTAGCAGTTTTACATAGAAGAGAGAGATTGAGAGAGAGGTGCACCTGCTATAGGTTAGAGAAGACGAGATCTCTATTCTAGCTCTTTCAACTTTGTAGAGATAAGAAATACACACACACACACACACACACACACACACATATATATATATAACTAAAAAGCTAGAGGTATGCAATGGTATAAACTAGTCCTCAGACTTGAGACATCATTTGGTCTTTGACAATACTTTATAGTCATGTTGAGAAATGTTTGAAGTATTGTTGGAATCTTCAACTGATTAATAGAGGCAAGTGAATGTATAACAAGGAATGTATAGTCTTGGTAAATGAGAGAGAATGCTCCATAAAGAATTGAAGAAATCATTGCAAAGTAGTGGATATGATTAGAAAGGAAGTTTCTAAACATAACTAATGTAATCATATAAATAGAAAATTCATATTAGGGTTTTGACAAAAGCATTCATACCCTAATAATATGAATTAGGAGCATTGTGTTAGAGGATAACTGAACTGCATGGTCATTCCAACTTGAACAGGTTCTTCAACTTTCTACTTAACTTAGGTAGTCATGACATATTGCTAGGTGTCACTTAGGTTTTTGTGGAAGCCCTGCAAGGCTTAATTGTAATTAACATTCACTAATAAGGACAATTAAATAGTGGAATTTAATTTACCATCAATTTAGAGGAATTGAAACTACCCACTACCTTACTAACAAGAATCTATGGTTTGCACACCGATAAATATAATAAGAGAAACAAATGAAGAAGATAAGAGGTTGAAAGTCAACTAAGTTGACCAAAATGGTTGACCAAGTCAAACTATACAAACTATGGTTAGGACTTAAGAGCTAAGTCATAAATCATGATTAAGATATTAATCATGAAATTAGTTTGACGATTGGACTTAGTTTGGGCTTTAAAAGCATTTTGGGCCAAATGGAAAAATAGCTCGAGGGCCCATTATGCCTAGGAACAAGTTTTGTGCGACAACACAAGTCAAGGGAACCCAAGAGGAGCCCAAAAGACCCTATAGGCATCCATCACATGTGTGAGGATTTTCTGCACATGTTTTTTGCATATAAAAGAGAAACCTTAGCCATTTTCTCTTTAGGGTTTGAAGCCTCCATCTTGGAGTTGTGTTGGGATGAGAGAAACTCACCACTCCATTATGCTAGAATCAGCCACCAAAGGAGAGAGCTAGCACTTTCTCTTCCCTTTGCCATCTTCTTCACCTGTTCAATTATATTTGGTATGGTGAGGACATTTCATTTGTGTCAATGTAAAGATCTATTGAAGCCAAAAGGAAGAAGGCCTTCCAACAAGGTGTGAACATGCCATCCAAGAATGGACATCAAGGGTAAAATTCTTATCCTTCTTCTTGAAAGTTTTGGTTTTGGGCATAAACAAGATTAGGCTTTAAAGATGCTTGGCAAAAGGATTGTTTTCAGCTCAAAAGTGTGATCTTTTATATTGCTTCCACTTCTTTGATTATGTTGATGATATTGTTTGTAGCTTAATATCCTAGAAAAAGTTTTGAAATTATCTCCCTTTATTCTTCCTTAAATATGACAATTCATTTATATATAAGCTCTCAAATAATTTCACATCCAATCCAGTCATAAAATTAAGACCAAAAGTTTACTAATTATTTGACAATTAATTTAACCTCATTTGTTTGTTTTTTTTTTAAATGTAATTTATATTTATGTTTGGAGATTTTCACTTGCACACAACGAAAGATGCGGGCTTTAGGGTAGGGGGGACTAGGAACTGTAGTAGTAGATGTTGTTCATACCTACCGAGTACAAGAGTTTGCTTGTTTCATACGGATGCTTGTGAAGCTCCGAATAGCACATCTAGAAGTTTGACATAACTATATCTGTAAGATCCACTTAGAACGTTTGGGGTTATTAGAAAATGAAGCCATTATGTGCAAACTAAAGGATTGTAGTGAGTTTACTTTTGAAAGTAACATAGTTTTAATCTAAAGGAGAAATAGTTCAAGGGCGAAGAATTCATGAATCTTGGTTTGTTTGAGAGCGGTTAGAACATATCGGCTGAGGAAGTAGTCCTCAAACTAGTCCCAAGTAATTGTGTCCGCATATTCACCCCATTGATGGAGTATATAGTATCCTACTAGCTGCTTTCTTTGTTTTCTAACATTACGACGATACTTTGCTGGCGTATAGTATCCATTGATGGAGCATATAGTGTCCGCAAACCTTACACGATACTTTGCTAGCGTGTGCATGGAGTCTAATTTCTTCTTAATATGTTTTAGCCAGTCTTTGTCTTTCTCAGCTTCGGTTGCCCTATTGAACTTCATAGTTTTCAATTTTAGAAACTGCTCGAAAAACTTTAGCTCTTGCTCTTATTTGCGCTCCACCTCATTCATGTTTGCATTCTAGACATTTGGATTGTTTTGTTAAAGGCCT